GTATATATATACACCCTTATCTGTACATACGTATCTACATGTATGTCTGTATGTCTGCATTTGTCTAGACTCACACCTACCTACCTACTGACCTACCTACCAATGTAGCTATCTGTCAATCGATATCTATATATGTATATATACATATATAAATTTATGTGTATTGCGAAGGCCTTACGGCCGTTGCCGCCGACCCTGAAGATGACGAAAGACAACACGAGGGGGGGGCAGGAGGAGGAGGAGGAGGAGGAGGAGGAGGAGGAGGAGGCGGAAGGGAGTAGGAGGAGGAAGGGTGAATGGGGGAGGAGGAGGAGGCCTTATGGATGTTGGTTGGGATCTCGTGGTTGACTCTCGGAAGCGTCTGGAAGGCAACTTGAAGCCTCTCGGGGGCCGTTGTGGGGCCTCTTGGGGCCTCTTTTGGGCCTCTTGGGGCTTCCGGAGGCCGTCTTCGGCGCATCTTGGGGGCGTCTTGGCGCCGCTCGGGGGCCTCTTGGGGCCTTTTGGGGGCCTCTTGGGGCTTCCCGGGGGCCTCTTAGGGCGGAAGTCTCGAATTCTCGGTTCCTCGTCCCCCTCTTGGCCGTTTCTTGGGCCCGTCTTGGGGCCCTATTGGGCCGTCTTGGGCGCCTCTTAGGCTGTCCTGGGGCCTTCTTGGGCCGTCTTGGGGCCCTCTTGTAGGCCTCTTGGGGCGCTCTTGGGGGCCTCTTGGGGGCCTCTTGGGCCGTCTTGGAGTGTCGGAAAGCCGAAAAGGCGAGAAGGCCAAAATCATTCAAAAACCGATGTAAAATTGACGATTTTGGCGCCTGGGGCCCTCTTGGGTGTGCTCTTGGGGCTCTCTTGGAGCGTCTTGAGGGCCTCTTGGGCCGTCTTCGGGCCGTCTTGGGCGTCTTGGGGCCATCGTTCGTCGAGTCGAGGCCCTCTTGTACCCTTTTGGGGGTGTCTTCTGTCGCTCTTGGCTCGTCTTGAAGCTTTTCTGAGCTCCGGGACCCCCCGGGGAGGATGCGTATCTGGGTGGCGACCCCCCGGCGGGGAGGGTAGGGAGGGGCTTCGTGAGGGGTGTGCCGAAATGGGTGGTGGGGAGGCATGCGGACCCTGCCACTGGGGCCTTCGGTGGAGCTCCCTATGGGGCCACGAAACGTGTGAGGGGTGTGCCGAAATGGGTGGTGGGGAGGCATGCGGACCCTGCCACTGGGGCCTTCGGTGGAGCTCCCTATGGGGCCACGAAACGTGTGAGGGGTGTGCCGAAATGGGTGGTGGGGAGGCATGCGGACCCTGCCACTGGGGCCTTCGGTGGAGCTCCCTATGGGGCCACGAAACGTGTGAGTGTGCCGAAATGGGTGGTGGGGGCATGCGGAACTGGGGCCTTCGGTGGAGCTCCCTATGGGGCCACGAAACGTGTGAGGGGTGTGCCGAAATGCCCGAAATGGGTGGTGGGGAGGCATGCGGACCCTGCCACTGGGGCCTTCGGTGGAGCTCCCTATGGGGCCACGAAGCGTGTGAGGGGTGTGCCGAAATTGGGGTGGGGAGGCATGCGGACCCTGCCACTGGGGCCTTCGGTGGAGCTCCCTATGGGGCCACGAAACGTGTGAGGGGTGTGCCGAAATCGGTGGTGATGATGATGATGATGATGATGATGATGATGATGATGATGATGATGATGATGATGATGATGATGATGATGATGATGCTGATGATGATGATGATGATGATGATGATGATGATGATGATGATGCTGATGATGATGATGATTGATGATGATGATGATGATGATGATGATGATGATGATGATGATGATGATGATGATGATGATGATGATGATGATGATGATGATGATGATGATGATGATGATGATGATGATGATGATGATGATGATGATGATGATGATGATATGATGATGATGATCATGATGATGATGATGATGATGATGATGATGATGATGATGATGATGGGAGGAGGGAAGGGGGGGGGAGGAGGAGGAGGTGAGGAACGCGGGGCGCCGTCTCTTCAAAACGAGGACCCAACACCACAGGATGGTTGGGAACAAGACAATGGAGCATCTGCAGAAGGGCGGCGCAGGGTCTGGTCGCCCCTCCGCAGACTGCGTCCGCCCAGGACCAGGCTGGTGTCGCCGCGTGCAGCCGCTGCCGACCGGGGCGACTGCTGCGGCGGTTGCGGCCGCTGGTGCGCGTGTGGAGGATGAGCAGGCGTGCTGCTCGTCGGCAGGCTGGTGGCCAAGTGTGACGGGCGGCTCGCGCTGGCCAGTCTCGCATGCAGGTGCGCCGGGCGGTTCGCTTGGCCAGCCGGCGGGCAGGTGTGACGAGCAGCTCGCGCCGTCAACCCGGCGGCCAGGCGGTGCGGGCGGCTCGCGCTGCCAGCCTCGCAGGGGTGCTGGGTTGTTCGCCGAGCCCGGGCAGGTGTGAAGCGCGGCTCGCGCCGGTGGGCTGGTGTGCTGGGCATCTCGCGACGGCAAGCCGACGGGCAATCGTGACGGGCGGCTTGCACCGGCCAGGGCTTGGCGGGCGCAAGCCTGGCGGGCAGTTCCGCCGGGAGGGTGAGGGGCGGCAAGGAGGTAGAGGAGGTCGAGAGCGAGGTGGATTCGGCCAGGTAGCCGGATGCGGCCGTGAATGGGCAGGCTGCGCGTCCGACGGAGGAAAAATAGCCCACTCTCAGAAGATGCAGAACGGAGAAGGAGCAGCTGCGGGGTGGGACGACTCAGGATCTGGTCGCCCTGCTTCGCAGCCTGCATCCTTCCCGCCCCTGCCACCCATCAAAAAACATAACAAGAGTAGAAAACAAAGAAGATGGGCGGGCCCGATGCAGCAGCCTTGCATACTTATACCCGAAGGCGTGCTGACATTGCGTTCGACCCCGCACGTGAAGATAGGCATGCCTCACGTGGCAGCCCTTTTTAGGCAGGACCTGACCATGCTTGGCGCATGACCTCTCCTCCCCTTTTCCCCCCTCCTCCACCTCCTTTCCCTCCCCCCTCTTCCACTCGGGCGCCCAAGCCCACGCGGCCGATTCTACCCCGGCGAATTTCGGTTCCCGACCGCGCCGGGCGGGTGCGCCATCGGCTTCTACCCCAGCGTATCTCGGGTCCTGACCGCGCCAGGCGGACGCACCATCACAATCTACCCCAGCAAATCTCGGTTCCCGTACGGCGGCCGCTGGCGGCGCCGCTGCCAGGGTCGCCCAGAGAGCATGACTGCAGGCAAGCAATCAAGCAGGCCTGCGCTTCTCCCTCTTGCATACGTGTCTGCTTTTGCTGACGGTGCTCCTTGGGTCCGCCTTTCGCGAGAGCTCCAGGTGTCCCCGCCTTCTCCTCCCCTCGCCTACCCCCCCTCCGTTGCCGCCTCGGCTCAATCCTCGGCCCCGAGCGTCCCACCTGCGACGCGTTGTGGACCCCCCGGCTGCACTCTCGGTGAGGGGACCCGCCATGGCGACTGGTGGCGCGCTTCCCGCGGAGCCGCAGTTCTACGTGAGGCTGGGGCTTGACCCCGCCAAGACGGTTGCGGCGCTCCACGCGCTGCCACAGAAGGTCACGCTCGCGGTGGAGCGCCGCGCGGGCGCGCGTGAGGCGTACCGGGAGGTGGTTGCCAAGGCTATTATGAAAATGTGGTCGAAGGGCGCGATGCCGTTTGACGGGGCGGATCGCGTCGAGCGCGCCATGCAGGCGATCATGAACAGCACCTACTCGTCGATCGTGCTGCCGCGGATTGATTACCGCACAGCGGTGGCGCGCGCGAGGGGGCTCCAGGAGCAGGCTGCCGCCAGTGCCCGCCGCAGTCGCCAGGCGCGGCGTCAGCGCGAGAGGAGTCGCAGCCGCCGCAGCCGAGGACATGGTGCCAGCCCATCCGCGGCGCCCCGACAGGACCGCGGCCGCGGCCGGACGCCTGCGCTCGGAGAGGGAGGAGGATAAGGAGGAGGAGGGAGAGGAGGAGGAGGAGGAGGACGAGGAAGAGGAGGAGGAGGAGGTGGCGGAAGTGCAGGACGAGGTGGAGGAGGAGGAGGAGGAAGAAGAAGAGAGCAGGGCGGGCCCATTGAGGTGCCGCAGGCGAGGAGCGGCACTTCTGCGTGTGGACGTGCAGGAGGTGAGGCAAAAGGCGGAGTGCTGAGCGGAGGGCGCAGCCGGAGTGCACGGCCTACGCGCCCGGGCGTGCGCAGCGGCGTGAGGGCCGCGCCCAGCAGGAGCCGCGCTGTGCGGCGGAGCGAGGAGGCTGCGAGGAAGAGCAGCCGTGACCGCTCCCGTGAGGAGCGGGGGAACGTGAAGGAGAAGAAGAAGAAGAGGAATGAGGACGAGGAGCCAGAGGTGCGATGGGGGTGCGAGCGGCGGGGCCGCGGGGTCCGCTGAAAAAGGAGCAGGAGGAGGAGAAGGAGGGTGTGGGCGAGCGCTGGGCACGCCGAAAAGTCAGGAGGAGGACAAGGGCGTCATGCCTGCACGGTCCCCCAGCGTGAGCCCGACTCCGAGGGCGGACAGCGCGACGCCGCAGTTAGAGCGTGCCTGGCCTGCCGGGAACGCGGCGCGAGCCACGCTGCCAATGCCCCAGCGGTCCGGTTCGTTCCCGCTGCCGGCATCTGGGTGCGCGGCAGCCGCATGCCAGGGCTATGCTGGCGCGCCAGTCGACGGGCCCCCCCGGCGCCAGAGCGCAGCAGGAGAGCGCCGGCTCCTCCAAATGCTCGCAGCCGCATCGCCGCGTACCAGGACGAGGATGATTGAGGCGGCCCTAGGCGCAGGGCCGGACTGCGCACGTGGGCCGTCGGGAGCAGCTGGGCAGGATGAGGTCGCAGGAAAAGGAGGCAGAGGAGGAGGCGGCGAGGCGAGCAGAGGATGTGAGGAAGGCCAGAGTCAGGGGTTTGAGGACGAGGCCGATGAGGGAACAGAGGTTGAGGAAGAATCGGCGAAGGGCTCTGCCTCAGCCGCCGGGGACAGGGCTGCTGCGCGACCGCAGATGCCGTTGCTGGAAGGCTCGCGCGCGGTGCCCCTGCCAGCGATGCTCCCGCAGGGCGTGCTTCCAGACTCCAAGTCGGTATCGCGTGCAGTGGCCGCCACTTAGCCCTGCGGACGTGCTGGCCCAGCAGTCCCACCCCGCATGGAGGCAGCCGGCGCACGACGCAGTCATGGAATTCTGCTTCTCCTCCAGTTCGGAGGGGGACAAGTCGCTCTGGGAGTGGTACTTGCAGTTGGCCGCGGCGGGCCTGTTCGTCCATGAGGTTTGCCAGGGGACGCCGTGGGCTGACCGGGTCAACGCTTGGGGTGGCCATGGTACCAAATACGTGCCAGCGGTGCGAACCACAGTGGGCGTCACGCTGAATTGGTGGAAGACGGGCGCCTCAGGTGATGGTAGGATTCGCCTTGACGGTAAAGATCCGGCGGTCGAAGCCATGCAGCCTCGAATGCGCCGGGCGTTCGAGGAATACATCCAGGGCAGGACCATGCAGGGCAAGTTGACAGGCAACCAGGCGAATCGAGCCAAGGTGCAGCAGGGCCGCTTGTCTCAGGAGGACGTTCGTCGAAGGGGGCGCATGGCCCGCACGGCGGGTAAGGCGCTTGCCCTCAAGGGCGCCGCTCTGTTCCGGTCTGGAGCGACGGAGCCAGGCGTGTGGGACCTCCTGGGCGACCACATTGGGGCCCGCAGCGCGCCCCCGTTCCGCTCGATGCCGTGGCCGATTGTGCTGCGCGCGGGGGTCGTTGTCTCCGTCCACAGTGACGGGCGTGTCCTGTGCGTGGCGGGCAAGGCAACCGTCGACGCAGTGGAGGAGGTTGAGGCTCTCCTGCAGCGTCGGCTTGGCGCCCAATGGACCGAGGAGGACGGCTACCTGAGTGCCGGGCCGGCGATGGAGATCGTGTGCGGGACCCCGGGCTCCCGCGCGCTCGGGCTGCAGCAGCGGCCGCCAGTTTTTCGGTAGGCGCAGCCCTTGAGGCGGCCCTGGTTTCCACGTGGGCCGCTGATCCTGGGGGGGCTGCGCCGAGTTGCAACAGGGCTGCCGCTCGCGCGCGCGCCGCGCTGGCGGTGGAGATTTGGATGGAGGGGGTGCGGCCATACAAGGAGGCGCTACGAGCGGCGGCGCTTGTGCCGGCGCCCGGTGGCTCGGCGTCGCTTCGAGGTGCGCCGCGTCGCCTGTGGGCCGCCGGCACCTCAGCCGACGTTGCAGCGCTGTTGCAGGAGGCTTCGGAGGCCGTCGAAGGCCAGCAGCGGGCAGTGCATGCGATCCCTGGCGTGCTGGCAGCGCGAGAGGCCTTAGCCGCGGAGCTGCGGCGAGTTCGGTCGCAGGCTTCGCGGGGCGCCAGCCGCCGGAGCCGGCTTGCGCGCCTCGGCTTGCAGGCTGCCGCTTACGCTGGCCCGATGGGGAAGGCCCAGGAGGAGCGCTGCGCAGGTGCAGGGGGCCAGAGCCGGCTGTGGTCGCTGGCCGGCGTCAGCGCCGGCTACTCTGGTGGTGCGAATCCCCAGGGCACGGGGCTGCTCCTCGAGAGGTGGCGCGACGTCGGCAGCTTCATGGGCGCCCTCTGCGTCGACTTCTTCCTCAGTGCGGCTTGCCGCCTGTTGCCAGGCTCGGATTTGAAGTCGGTCCTGCTTGAATTCGCCTACGACCCCCTGGGGCCCCGATCGTCGGCATACGACGTGGTCTGTGGCTTCTGCCAACGGGATTCGCTGGTCCCAGTCGAGTGGAGATCAGAGTGGTCGGACACTCCGCGGGTCCAGTGGTTCGTGGTGGACTCGACCATCCTGGTGGGCGGCTTCGTGATCCCTCCGCGCGGCCCGCGTGCCTCCGAGTCCGTGCGGATGGAGCTCCTGGAACGCATGTTCTCTCAGTATGATGCCATTCGGCAGGGGCATTGCCATTTGCGCGAGGCGGTGGTGTACGGCGACCTCAATCCGTCAAAAGCTGCGCCGGCTCTATGCAGCCCACCTCCAGACCATGGGGCTGCGTGACCTCATCGATGTGGACGTGCCCACGCACGTGAATGGGGCGCCGGCTGGATGTTGCATGGGTTGACGGCGTTACGACGGCCACTTCTGGACCATTTCCCTGTGGTTGTTCACGGCGTCCGCGTCCGGGACAACATGGCTGCAGCTGCGGCGGCAGTCGCTGAGGACGGTGCCCGATGCTTCTTCGAGCGGGACCCGGACGGCTGGCGCGTTGCGCAGGAGGCCCTCGGTGACTTTATGGGGCTCGCCGCGGAGGAAGTGGAGCGCTGGACGACGCATCGGGCTACGTGGCAGCCAGCGCCAGTGTCCCGGATGCAGTGTGCAGCAGAGATCGCATCGTGGTTGTGGCGGGCGTCCATGTATCTGGCGGCGGCATGCGGCCAGCTCATGCGCACGTCGACCCCGAAGAGGACGACCCCGCGGCAGAGCGCCAAGACTGAGTTAGTGGCACAGGAGGTCCAAGCTGGGAGACGAGCTACAGCTGCTATTGCCGCGGCCGACGCCCAGAGGAGGGCCGACCGCTACATCGGCTTGGTGATGGACGACCCGGGTGAGGCGGGGAAGTATTTGAGCCGTCTCACCGCCAAGCGTGGCATCGGGCTGCCAAGCGCGATGGAAGACTACGCGGAGCCGGGGAAGTTTCTGCACGGCGCCAGCGTGCTGGAGGGCGCAGCGGCATACATTGCGTCTCGTGGGCGAGGCCGTGAGAACCTCTTGACGCACGTGCAGCGTGGGAGACTGAGGGAGGTGGAGCAGCGGTGCTCTGACGTCCTCGGCCGGCAGCGGGATCAGTGGCGGTCGCGGTGGTGCGAAGATCACCGGCCCTACACGACTGACGACCTGGAGGCAGCGTGCGGCAAGGTCAAAATCGGCAAGGCGAGCGCGGGGCTTCCGTACGCCAGCATCAAGACCACGACCCATGTTTGTGCGAGGCTGCAGCTTGCCGTCCAGAACCTTTCGCGCTTCCTCATGGTGGTCCCCCAGTGCTGGAAGTGTCAACCCACCTTCCACTCCCACAGCCGCGGGCGGCCCGTCCACCAGTACTCGTCGTACCGCACGCTGTCCGCCAACACGCTGGAGTTGAGGATCGCAGAGGAGATGTGGGCGGCGGCATGCGAAGAGAGGCTGTGGACGGCGGCTGGCGAGGAGCAGCTGGGGCGGGGCGACTCTCTCGTCGCCGCCGTTATGGGGCTTGACGTGAGGAGGATGCGGTGCGAGCAGGGCCTGCCGCTGGGCGAGCTCTTTACCGACCTCGCCGAGGCTTTCGACACAGCCCACGTTGCGTCGATTGTCCTCGCTGCATACGAGGACGCAGGGATCATAGGGGAGGGGGGAGGACCTTGTGGCAGCGGCGGGCATGCTGGAAGGCTCCGTGATCAAGGTGGTGTCCCCGCACGCGCAGGCGCGGCCGGTGGAGTTGGGGGGCGGGGTGCCCGAGGGGCGGCGCCCGGCTCCGGCGCTCTTCGCATGTTCTGCCAGGCGCTTCGGCCGTGTCCTCGAGGAGGAGGGCTTTCTTGGCGTGGGGCTCGATCCCCCGGAAGAGGCGGTCTTCTCCCTCGCCCTCCAGCCTGCGCCCGAAGCCGAGGAGGCGGCCCCAGACGTCGCATGGTGCATCGCGGAGGCTAGGGCCTGCGGCGAGGACGACGGCCGCTGGCGCACGGCCATGGCGGCGGCGCGCACGCGGGACGAGCAGCTCACTCTCCTGGATGCTGCCTCGACGGTGCGGCTGGGGATTACGCAGTTCATGGACGACAACTGCGTCCGTGCCAGCTGCAGGGGAGCTCTGAAGGAGGCCCTCACGCGGACCCTCGACGCCGTCGCGCGCCTGCGTGGTCAGCTGCGTTTCGGGCTGGGCAAGACGGAATGCATTGCGCAGGGATTCGCTGACACCCGGGCGATTGAGCGAGTGGTGTTTGTGCCGTGCCACGTCGCCCTGGGGTTGCCGATGGACCCTGCTGGCAGGCTGACCGAACTTCTCCAGCAGGAGGAGGGCCGCGCAATAGCAGCATGGGGCAGCGCGCTGCTCGGCATCGAGCTCGTGGGCCTGCCGCTCCGGGCAGCTTTGGCGGCGCTGGGAGGCAGGGTACTGCCCCGGGCGTGTCACGGGGCGTCGCTCCTCGTGGTCAGGAAGGACTGGGACACCAGGCTCGACGCGGTCTACGACAGGTGGGTTGTGCGATTCTTGGAGCTCGTGAAGCCTGTCCCGCGCGTCGCCCTGCTGAGGGAAATAGGCTTCCCGTGGCGGCTCAGCACGCGGGTGCTCCGGGACGCCCTCGCGCTGCTGGCCTGGGTGGAGGCCCTCGCGGCAGCATCCAGCCCACGGCGGGTCGCCGGCGTTGCAGCGGGTTTCGCAACCACGTGGGCCGCGACTGTCAAGCAGCATGCCGTCGCACTAGGCATCCAGGACCTGCGAGGGTGGGCTGCGGCAAGGGCGGCGGGGCAGCCAGAGACGTTGACGCGGCAGGCGAGAAAGCGGCTGATCCGACGTTACATCCGTCTGGAAGTGGCCCCGCCCCTCCAGAGGCGCGAGGAGGCGTGGCGGGCGCAGCAGCTGGCCGTCCACCCGCCCAGGGGCGCCGCCACGGTGGCTGAGGCGGCGGAGTCGCAGTTCCTCTGCAAAACGGTGCGGCCCTGGGCGCAGCTCCGCCTGCAAGGTCATTTCTCGACGCACATGGGCGGGGAAGGAGCGGCGTGCAGCTGGTGCGGCGCAGAGGTGGAGGAGGCGGTGGCGGGCACTCTCTGGGAGGGCCTTCCGGCTGAGGAGCTGCACCAGCGCTGCCGCGAGGACGATGACGTGCTCACGGCGGTGGCGGTCACGTGCTGGCTGCAGGCGCTTGCCCAGCGCAGCCATGGTGCGCCAGGAGCTGGAGGCGATGAGGAGGAGGAGGAGGAGGAGGAGGGGGAGGAGGAAGAGGAGGAAGAGGAGGAAGTGCCAGGACAAATAGGTGGCGATCAAACGCCGCCACGCTTGCTGGTTGGAGACGTGCGGGAGGATGGGCTGGCATCCCTCTGAATCCGGCCGAGGGCGGCGGCTGTGAAGCGGCGGGGGGGGGGCGGCGGATGGGGGCGGCGGAGGCGGCGGCAGAGGGGGCGGGGGCGAGGCGGGGACAGCTGAGCAGGTGAGGAGGGCCGGCTAGGCGGCCCGCGCCAGATGTAAAATAAAACGGTGGGTGGCCAGCACTCCCCTGCTACATTTGCATTGGGTTTGCCTATGTGCGGACGTGCAGGTCGAGGGTGCTGAGCCTCCGGCGGCCCACCGTATTATGAAAGCATTGTTACGTAGTCTCCCCCTGTCCGCCGGGAGAGACCCGCGAGGCCGGGAGGGCCGAGGCGGCAAACTCGCGAAAGAAAAGAAGCATGAAACAAAGCACTGCGGGCGTGGTGACGCGCGCAAGAGTTGAATCTTGCCCGCGGCTCGCCTGCCTTCATGACTTCCCAACACATCATCGCCAGCATCTTTTCCTCCTCCCTGTGGATGTGCAACGTGGTGGCCTTGTCAGCCGTGGCGCCCTCAAGGGCGCGCAGGAACTTGGCGCGGGCCCTCGCCTCGTGCCGCCGAAACTTCTGGCTCCAAGGGATGAGTCTGCTCTGACAGTCCTTACGATCTGACCAAAAACCGTTGGCGGCTTTCTGCGTGCGATACCTGACATCAAAGTGCTCCTCGAAATTACGGCATATCTTACATCCCAAGAGGGCCGCGGAGTCAACGAGGTTGAGGGAGAAGCTGGCCTGAGTCAAGACCTCCGCGGGGAGCGGCCTAGGGGCTTCAGGGTTCACCAAAACGTTCCCAACACAGTCAATTTTACGGGGCCCTCTTAGGGGCTCCAACCCCGGGGGCAGCATGCAGATGTGCATGTCAGTCGGGTTGGTCGCGCACATATTCATGTAGTCCTTGCTTTTGGGCTTCCACCTGAAACCAAAGATGTGTGTATATCGCGCCATATTCATAAGCATGCTGCGTAATTGGTCATGCGTTTCTGCCATTAGCACCGCGGTATCCGCCCATGCAAAGTGTGACGCAACAATGTTTCTAACTTCGCCCGATAACTTGACACCAATGTGCTCGCGTGACCTTTGAAGACGCGATTCACTGAACATCAGTAGCGATGCCGCCGTCCACAGTGGTGGGCCTTCCAGAGACCCTGTGCAAATCGAGCTTGTCCACTGCAGGGTGTCAGTCGCAACCTCCTGAATGCGAAAAGTTGCCGGCGTCCCTACTGAGTTCTGGATAACAGCGAAGGCCAGGCACGAGTCCACGCTCAATCTCGCCAGAGCCTCATCAGCTCCCTCAACAGTCAAAGTGTCAAGAGCGTTCTCAATGTCCATCGTAGCCGTCCGCATGTTCTCCGATTTATCGCAAAGTTGAGCATGTTTACATGCATGACGGAGCCCCGCAGTGATCTCATGGCACCTCCTACCCTCCTGAAAACCGTACCAGTTCACACCAACAGTAGGTGCGACCGAATCCCATTCTTCGCCAAGAAGGATCATCATGCATCCCACATACCATTTATACACCAGTGAGTTCAAAGCAAGTGCCCGCGTCTCAGAAAACTCAACAATACGTCCTGCTTTGAGAATCAGCGTAGCAAGAATCGTTTCCAACTCGCTGGTGGCTCCAATCTCCGTTCATACACATACTGAAAACTCAGGGCAACAACAAGCAATCCCTCCCAGCTCAGCTGCTTCAGTAGCGTGGCAGAAATACCATCCGCACCAAACACACGGCCAATCTTAAGACGAGCATGGGCCTTGCACGCAACATTCGTATGTATTGGGTTCGGTGGGTCATGAACACGAGCGTGGTCTTCCGCCCTTCTCTTAAGCCGAGCTGAACAAGCAACATTACGGTCACCCATCCTAGGATCACAATAGTTGGCTGAAACATGTTTGGTAAGGCCTTGGACCCACTTTTTTTTTGTCTCCGTCAGGTCCCCGTCAACCCGCGTACAGTTCATCGCAACGCGATGTTTGGACCCATCACGAAACCGGTACTCCAGAGTACCACGGTGGAGTTCTCTCTGAATCTGATTCCACCTCCTTTTTTTGAATGTGTGATCGTCGACTTCTCCTCTCTTCCGTAGTTTGTGTTATCGTAGTGGCAGTTCCTAACCTCCCCTTCCCTTCCTCCTTCATCATCTTCAGGCTGGCTTTAGCAGACACGTGCCCATGCAAGTTCGGGTCAGCCGTCGCACCATCCTTGAAACGAGACTCCAGGTCCTGAAAGGACATCGCCCTCCACCTAGTACGGTATACACAACGGCCCTCCTCCACCTCCAGGTCCACCTTCCTCTTCCCCCACCTTCTCACGGTCACCTGTGCCCACTTCTCCACGTCAACCAGTTTCACCTTCAAAACTTGCCTCTGCTGGACCTCCTTACCTGGAGCAGGTCGCCACTTCGCCAGACTGCGAGAAACGCGCGGCTTCTTATCCTTGCGAGGGTGTCCCTTAGGAAGTCTAAACGCCAGCAGTTTATGATCACTCCAACTCTGTGAATCCTGAACATCAGCACCATGAAACCAGGAAGTCTGCACATCTGCGGCCAGGTGATCCCCGCGCGCGACAAACATAATCCAGTGCAAGCTGGCAGGGATGGCAATATATCCAGCACGAGCTCCACATTTCCCTGCGGACTGCGCCAAGTCGTGGCCCGGGGGCCGACCGTGTTTACAAGCACCGTTTTGTTTACCATACTCACGCATAGGGCACGGCTCCATACCTATCCTTCCAAAGCTCCCAGAGGATCTCAATGAGGGCCTGCTCACGAACCCCAGGACCACTAACACGAATAGAGTCTACCGTCTCCCTAGGCGCGACCTCAACATTCGCGTCCATGCACACGGCAACATCTGTCATGTGGTGCTTATCCTGGAGACGCAAGACTTGGGTGGCCAACCTTCAAAGCGTGTCCTGAGACAGCTCAAGCGTAAATGCATACGCGTCCAACGGCTTTCTAAATAACGCGGCATGTGGGAGGTAGAGACTGAGATGCAGGCATGCTCCGCACTGTGGATCACGAAATGCACGCACAACGAGGCGACGTTCAGAAACATGATTAAGGAGACATGCTTGCAAACCTTTTTGCAACGAAGACCCCTGCTCTACCTTCAACAGTAGCGCGCCTACCCTCTCGTTGCAACGCGTGCTCCTCGGACAGCCTATACTCATACCCCGCATCATGAATCAAGTCAGCTGGCATGCGCTGGCACTCCTGAAGGCCTGCAACCAGACAACCCAATTCAAGGAGACCAGAAAGCGATTCAAACTTTGATCTCTCGCCCATCAGTCTGACATTCCAGCACCCAGCTCGGATGCGCACTTTGCAGGGTCAAAATGATGACTGATTTAGTATTGTCTGCCAACTCGCCACATGGATTGTCGGATCAAGCTTCTCAAGCTCGGCAGTGATCACCTTCAAACGGTTAGTCGGGTCTCAGGTTCCAAGGATAGACTTCAGATCCTCACGATTTCGGTTCAGAACAGACCACGCCCAACTCATGTGAGGCGGACCATCTTCGACCCTGACCAGAGCATCAGTTTTGAGCGGATCTTTACGTTTGAGATAAGTCGCAACGAGTTTGGAGCCTGCGTTCACTTGTGCTCCTTTCCAAGGTGCGGTCTGGACCTTCGCCGAGATATATCCAGGTTGGCCATGTGCATCCTTGGCAGGGCCCAGTGTAGTGTCGTCAAACATCTCAGGCACGGATTTCCTCGCAGAGCAACTCGGGATAGCATGAGCAATCTGCAACGCTTATCTCAATACGAAACAGACCAAATGGCTTCCGAGAGTTCTCACTCAGCGTATTCATATCATCAACATGTGTGCGAACGGCAGGGGTAGCTTCAACAGCACAGTGCTAACTTTCGTGCCGCGCTCTTCTGACGTGATGTTAATTGTGCGGGCAGCTACATGCTGGTGGTCACCGGAGGTCCAACCCTGCAAGGTAAGGTACGATGGCGCAAACTCCTGGGGACTTCCACTCCTCGCATCATCACCAACAACACGACCAACACTGAAACGCGTGGAGTAAGAGGCCTCGCTTTGAACATCCTGTTCCACTGGGGGTCTCTTGGGGGTGCCGCTTCTCAGTTCCTCATCTGCAGCGAATAACTTGCGATTTATCTCCTTTTGCTCCACCTGGCCGTCACTGAGAACTGTCAACTGAGCAGTGACAGGGGCCAACTTAGAGTCGACCTGAAGCATGTATGTGTTTGAGAGACTCCTGCAATGTATCCTGGAATATCTTACTCGAACTACTCATGAACTCTGAACGTAAAACACCAAGCGTGATCACCGACTCATCCGTGCCAGGCGACTCAGGGGCACTCGCACGCAGCTTACCTTTCCCTCTATCTCTACACACACCCTTGTCCTCATGTCCAGCATCCTGCATCTCCTCATCCTTGCCGTCACCAGCTGAAGCAACAGGGGCATGAACACGAGGAGGTGGGGGTCAACAGTCAACGATGCCACATGTAACCCAGCCGCTTCACCAGCAGCCAATTCAGCCTGTCTACATTCCATCTCCTCTGTAGCCACACACTTATTCTGATAAATGCATCGAACCAGATCCAGGAGCCAGAACTGCAATTCACTGATCAATAGCAACACTATCGTGGAACCAGTAACACTTTTTTGATCTGCAGGGCGAGAGCGAACCTCTTCCGCTGAAAGCTAAGCGGGACGCGCACAGCTTTAATTGGCAGAGAAAGGGCGGAAGGAGGCGGGGCCGCACGCGGCCAGGGGCGGGCGAAGCCCAGGGATCAGGCGGTGCCGAACGGGACGTGCAGGAAAAGGTACATCTTGGACAGGAGCCCGGTGGTGAAGTCCTGGGAGGAAAAACCGGTGGTGCAGCCGTCAGCGGCGCTTCGAGAACACCAGCCTCACATACTGCGGGAGAGGACGCGCCACTTGACCAGGGTGAAACCAGTAACACACTCGAAACCAAACTCGGGAACGCTTTGCGCGCCATTTTGGCTGCGCTTGGCTTTCCTCGGTGGCTGTACTCAGACTCCCTGGATGTGCCGTTGCATGTTCCTTCAGGGGCTGCCCTGCAGACTCCCTGGATCTGCACGCTCTTTGGCTCAGACGCCCTGGGTCGCTGCTACTTGCCGCCTGACCGCGGCCCCGCGCGCGCCCGCCCCCTTGTCGCGGCCGCAGCCCGACCGTGACCGCCTGCCGCTGGCGCTTCCGCTTGCGGCTGTATAAAAAAGTATCCCCACCAGCCCGTCCAGAAACGACGCCCAGGCGAATATAGGGTCGTCCTGAGGGGCTTTTCGGCGTCTTGGGTGCCTCGGGGGGGCCTCTGTGGGCCGTTCGGGATCCTCTTTGGGGCCTCCTGGGGGCCTCT